AATTCGGCCATTCAACTATAGTCAGACGAAATTTTAAGTTATGAATTATCCACACGTTAACAATTTATGTGGATCATTTCAAAGCTAAGCTCTGTTTGGTGTAGATTAAAGTTAGTGTTTTATTAGACTTTGACAAAAGTTGATAAAATGTGTGGTAGAAAAGTTGTGCTATCATAAAATGTGTGGTTAAAATTAATTATTGACTTTGACTTGGGGATTTTTATCAACTTTTAATCTACACCAAACAAGGGCTAAATATATTCTCGAAAAATTTTAATATTCAAACAATATTAATAAGCAATATGGAATAAATAAATCAAATTTAATTCAGTTTGTGATTTTATATATATACATATTTATTTATTTATTGAAAAAATAGATCTATCTTTCAGATCACCATACTGAAGAGTATATTCAATTTCAAATTTGACAGAGGGCTTTGGAGGAGAAAAAAATGGCTCAAATTGAGGCAAAAAATGCTGAAAGAGCAGCAGTGCAATCTTTTCAGGATAAGACTGCCACGCTTGAGTCTTACACTAAGGTATACTACGTTGAAAAATGTTGCACATCGGACCTTTATTGTCATTCATCTTTTTATTTGGTGACATTATAGATATCTAGCTTGAAGTGTACTCCAGTAGTTGCATTTGTTTGCACACTACAATTTTTGATCTTTTAGACTCGGAGAACTTGATAATATTTTCTTTTTGTCCCTCAGGCAAGCAAGAAAATCTCTAAGCACTTTGCCCAGATGCAGGCTTTACAAGAGCAGGTGTAATTAATACTAATGCTCTATCATCTTGTCCTATCCATCAGTAAGATCTGTGTGATGAAATGATCCTTTAATGGAATGTGTCCCCTTAACACTTGCTTAAGGTTTCCTCATTATCTTTTCAAGGAAGTAATAATGTGTCAACTTCTCAATCCCTTTTTCTACCTTGAATTTTCATATCATAAAATCTCACCTATAATCTAGTGCTTTTGGCATTAGTGTTTTAGTTTAGCACTCATGCTTTGTGAATGTACATCTGCATTGGTTATAAAATCACTCATTTTAACCTTATACTTTTTAATGTCGTGAACATACTACTAACAGGTAAATTCTGCTAAATCTGTTGAGAAAGATGTTAAGGTTCTTAAGAGTAAGCTAAGTGATGAAGGAGTGTTAGATAAGTCACTTGAGGCCAAAATAGTTGAACTGCAAGCAAAAGGTAGCCATACTTTTATCTGCTTTCCATCATTATCATTCTTACTTCATCCTTGCACCTTAAGTTTAACCTGTTGTCCAGCGGACCAGTTAAAAGAATTTAAAAGGCAGCTTGAAAAAGAAAGTTCTCTCAGAATGGAGGATGCAACCAAGGAATTAAATAATGTGAAATTAGAAGTGGAATCAAAAAAGCACACTCTCGATCAAAGGCAAAGACAGGTGGAATCAGTGGTGGCAGAGGTACCGTCGACAGATCAATTTTTTTCCCAGTTTGAAGTTGTATTTTGGGCAACAAGTTTCTAATTCTAAATCTTATTCGCTTTTCGGCACATATTAGGGTGATGCTATCACTTCAAAGATCAATTCAGTGAAGCAGTCAGGAGAAGCTAAAATGCAAGAATTAGGCCAGAAAGGTGAAGAAATAATGACAGAGGTATGTGATTTTCATTCATCAATTTTACGTATTTTTTGAACCTTTTTGTCTGCTATGTTTTTGGTTAGAACTTCATTTATACCATACACATACATGAGATGCAAGTTAAGTTTACTTTTATAATCCCGAACAAATACAGATGCCTCTTTTTAGGAAAATTCTTAGTTTTATTGTTATGAAGTGAAACAAATACAACAGCGACGTCTTATTGAACATCACTTTTGCTCTCATGCCTTACTGAACTATCATAAAACTCTAAACACATCGCCGTCTATAGATTTTAGTTTCAAAGCAGTATATAGTTAAGAGGTTGACAAATTTCCGCCATTGTAATATTAAGTGCTTACATGAGAAATTTGGTCAGTGCAAGCCACTTGGACGGTCAAAATTCTGGTAAATAACACTCTTTTTAGTTGCTTTAGGTAGTGATGGCACGGCTCGGCACTTTAACCCACGAGCTCGGCTCGGGCTCGTGGCTCGTGGAAGATGAGCCAAGCTCGAGCTCGGCTCGT